CGGGGGCGGGGACGGAGTTGGCGGTGCGACGGGGGCTGGCCGCGTGTAGTAATTTGGGTCAGACCATTTCTCTGCGTCTGGAGTTGGAGGGAAATACGGATTCATTTTGGTCACTGAGAGTAGAGCAGAGTATCAAGGAGGGATTTTTGGTTTGAGGTTCAAAAGGGAGAGAGAGGTATGTAAAAGATGAGAGCATACGTGTTGGGTGGCCAAGAAATTGCACCGTGTGGATGGTCAGGGGTTTAGATTGCACACAGTATTCAGACAAAGAGTGTTTCTACGAGTGTTTCGACGTCAAAACCAGGATAAAAGATTAAATATCGATAAAATCGCGGGGATGATATTTATAGAAATGATTTATTGTCTAATGATCATCTCTTAAATAAGCTTATTATTGTGTTGGGGCTCGCTTCACTCTAACTTCTAGAAACAAGGGCCTCCATCTCAGCAGCTTCCCTTGGCACATCAGTCAGGTTCTCAGAGCCAGTCTTGGTGATGAGGATGTTATCCTCGATGCTATCAAATACCGGTTAGCAAATTGCTTCGATAGCGCGACGGTGGCCACCAGAGCCACAACTTACCGAACTCCACCGACATCCCAGTACTTGTCCAGAACGTCCTTGTCGATGAATTTGCTGTGCACGGGGTCCTCGAGGTAAGGATCAATAATAAACTTGCAGAAGTAAATCTAGAAATGTCAGCACCCTGTGAAATATGCTGTGAATGTCACTTACACCAGGCTCGACAGTGACAACACTGCCGCTGGGAAGAGTGCCCCGCACACGTAGGTAGCGGAACAGCTTATCCTTGTCGCCAAAGTTGGGGTTGCCGCCGGTATCGTGGGTGTCCATGCCAAGATAGTGACCCAGACCGTGAGGGAGGAAAGCAGCGCTCGTGCGAGCCTTGAGGATCTCATCCTTGTCACCCTTGAGAATGCCAGCTTCGAGGAGGCCGTCGATGGCGATCTTGTGGGCAAGCAGGTGAACATCGTCCCAGACAACACCCTCCTTGAGGACTGAAATACACTCCTTTTGCATCTTGAGGACCGTCTCGTAGATGTGACGAGACTCCTTGGTGAACTTGCCCGAGAGAGGGAATGTTCGTGTCTAAACGGTCAGCCCAATCCGACCCAGGATCTTATGTACTCACAATATCAGCAGCGTAGTTGTTCCACTCGCCGCCAGCATCCAGCAACAGGTTGAGCTTGCCTTCCAGAGGCGCATTGTTTGGGACGTAGTGCAGCGTAGCAGCAGCTCTTCCAGCAGCAGCAATAGGGTCATACGACATCTTCTTAATACCATAAGAATAGCATCTCTCCTTGAACGCCGCCTCAAACTCCTGCTCATTCTTGGCAGTCTTGGCCCTCGCAAACGCAGCGCGATGTCCAATGCCAGAGATATAGTTCGCCTTTCGAATCATAGCGATCTCGAACTCGTCCTTGACCACTCGCGAGGTCTCGATAGCGGTCTTCAACACATTGAAGTTCTTGTTGTCGAAGCCGATGAAGGAAACGTGGTCGGAGACTTGGTTCGCGATGGCAAAGGCTGAGGACTTGGGATTCTCGGATCCGAGGTGTGCGAGGGTAGCGTTGAGTTCGGTGGTGAGCTTGACTTCGTCGACGTCGTATTGCGCGAGGGCCTCATCGATGCTGACGGGGAGACCGGACCAGATGACATCGTCAGGGTTGATGGGAGGGATGAAGAGTGTGGATTTCGCGGATTGGATGTCGTAGACGAAAGCGCAGTCGGGGAGGTTGCACCCGGTGAGGTAGTAGAAGTATCGGCGCTGACTGGATGATCAAAAGATTAGATGATGCTTTGTAGATAAGGCAGGATACGCACCGGAAGGGCTCGGGCTCGTCGCTATCTTCCATCATTCGAGTGACTTGACTCTCAAGGTATAGAATGCCATTGGCATCTGGTACATCCTTTCGGATGAGGTCCACGACTCGTTTGGCATGGTCTTTGCCTGGGTATTTGCCCTTGAGGACAGCCTCGTAGTCTTCAGCGACCATGGTGATAGTTCTAGCGTGGGGTATTTGCAATACGAAACGCGGTCGCGTGGATGATATCGTATTCAGACGTCGCACTTCCGTGTACAGGCTTCGTCTAGCTGACCTTGAAGTCCTTGTAGAAAGGGTTCGCGTTGTTGCTTGAATAGAACAAGAACAAAGATGGAGGGGAGATTTGAACAACCCCGCTATGGACCTCGGATTCTTGGTCATGACGGAAGTGCAGTTCACAAATTAGGTAGCTCCAGTGGCTGCATTCACTAATCGCCTGCCCGTTACGGGGTCTCCAGTGTGGGGTCACGGCTGACAACGGCTTCTGCAGGTAAAACAAAACTGGATAATGAGCTTATGGAGATTTGAGATGGGAATTTGACGGATGAATTAATTGTCCGTTTGAAATATAACGAAATGTATTAGGTGCAAGGTAGACTATGTACAATATAGATATTGAAAGAATAATACGCGAAAGAAGGTGAAGCGGCATCAAGCCAACTCTGAAAGAAACTCAAGAATAGCATCGTAAGTGACAGGGTGCGAGTACCCAAAGTTCAATCCGTGACCTGCACCTGGCACAACAGTTGTGTTGAATCGCGAGGCCTGTGTAAAGAACTTCCTCGAGATGTCGAGTAACGAGGGCAGCTTCTCGTCTACGCTGATAGTAGAGTAGCAGTTGTCACCGCAAAAAGGAACGTCGCGTGCTGCTACTATTAGCATCTGTTATTCCATTTATACAGGGAGGGGTCTCAACTTACAGCCAGTCACGATCTGGACAGGGCCAGTGTATGTGTTATTCTTTCCCGCTGGTGCTCCCAAAGTAAGAACTTCGCCAGGTGAAACAGGCTGGCCCTTCTCATATGCCACTTCCAGCATCTTGGGGTCGAAATCACCCTCTGCAAAGAAGTTGATCTGAATGCCTACTGTAGACGACACAGCCATGTAGCCAGCGGGATATTTATCGGCGAGAGGTGTGGCAGTAATAGGAACAAAGTTGCTTCCAACTCCGAATAGCGACAGATAAGCAGTAGCTTGCGAAAAGCCCGTCAAGACAATAGCATCAGTGAGTTCAGGGCTCTCATTCGCAAGCGCATATGTAATAACTGAGCCAAACGAGTGTCCCAAGTGAACGACCTTGGAATACTTGCATCCTACTCCAAGAGATCCTTCGCGGGCTTTGGTAGTGAGGGCCTTGAGAGCTGCAATCTCGAGAAAGACTTGAATCTCGTTCAATGGATCACCCTTAGAAGAAGCACCAACTCCAAGACGGTCCCAGGTAAGAGTCGAGTAGCCATGCTCATCGACTGCGCGCGCAACATAGCTGTAGTTGTAGTTGTTGTAAGGAAAGTCCCAGTAACTTCTATCAAAGCCAATGCCGTGCGTCATGATCTGAAGTTCCTCTCCAGGACCGGCATCGGGTTCGCAGTATGTAGCGGCGAGTTCATAGTCACCCGAGACAGTAGTAAACTAACCCCGTAAGCTTGTATCGAACTATCGAGTGAGTGTGTTACTTACACCCTTCTGCACCTGTTCAGGATATGAAGGCGCACCCTGACGTGCGAGATTGATGGCAAGGCTCGTAACGTCAATGCCCGTCAACGGCGCCTCAATGGTGAAAACAGCATTTTGAGAAGTGAGTGACACAGGGACTGTGATGTTTGTGCACTTTCGCGCCGAGGCAGCGGCGATGAGGGTGAAGAGGGCCAAAGACTTGATCATGATGACGACTGTCTAAGAAGGCAACTGTTTTGGTGTGAGACTAGGCACCTTAAGTAAAGATAGAGAGATAATCTAAAGCCTCGGAAGTGATGATCTTTATATGAAGAGGATATGCATGTCTTAATTACAAATTTCTCCTTCATCCGCTGACCGGTCCTGCAGAGCTTAGCTGCATATACTAATTTGTGTTTCTTCTTGCATATACATTTACATTACATCCTTGTAGATATCATCTTCGATCTTACTCCACATGCGAGAAGAGGTCCGACCATGATCGGTGAATGCAACCTAATGCCTCCTGAACAAACTTCCACTTACATTGAGAGTTTAGGTTCGGCACAGAGGAATAGCAGAATGTTTATTATGCTACAGTACGGAGCAGCTCGGCACTCACTCGATGCACTAGCGGAGAATTTTAATTCTATACCCACGGACGCTATGTAACGGGTCGTCTATTGAGATCTTCACTCGGTAGAAACGAACTATCCGCTGTATCCATCTTGGCAAAAGCACATGTGTTCAACCACGGCCAATCGGTCCAAGTTCGTAATACTCGGTGTAAGTGAGTAATCCATCCCCCCCTTGCAGAGCCTCTTGACGTGATAGATGCAGTGTCATGTCATCGGGGACCATTTGTTGATGGTAAACCTTGCAACAAACTCAATTGACCCTCAGACTTCTTTTCAACTTATGTCCGCTTGCAGAAATGACGAATAGCTTACCAAGACTAGCAGATCTTGGTGGCCAATGTAGCGGAGAGGTGAAGTCATGCCGAACGGCTCCATCCCTTGCATTGTGATAGTCAGAAGTCTCAACTGAGACAGACACACCGACCGGTACGGGGGCTTTTTGTTCTAGCGGCGAATAGAAGAGCATGATAAAACGGGTTCAGGCGTCTTTTTTTTAATTGCTCTATGACGGGGCAGGGTCTGAGTCGAGAACATGTATGTCTTGAGTATTGTCTCGTACAATAGCCCAAACGGAATATGACAAAAAGACGACAAGTGACCAATAGCAATAGGGCGGGCCAGCTGCATTAGCGCATAAGCAGATTGACAAATAACAAGCATGGATCTATTTGAAATACATCTTACATCTCACAGCTCATCCTTCTCATCCAACTCATGCTGCAATTGCATCGCCATCCCAACAGCTGCAAAACCGCCCATATGCATCGCCTGCAAAACACTCCTCATGACCGTCGCAGCATCGCCAAATGCAAAACAGCCTTTCACACTAGTCTCGTTCATCGGCACACTAACCTTAATCTCACCCGTTACCGTCTTCTCCAGTCCCATCTGTTCCGCAAACGGTGCTGCTTGTGCAACATTAGGATGACTACGAAGCCTTCGGTCTTGGAGGAGCCGTCGTCAAAGGTGATTTTAACAGCAGGATCACTCTTAATGAGAGCGAAGGATGTGATTTTTCGGGTGTCGTAGTGCACTTTACTGCTGTGCACTTTTGTCTTTATGGTTGAAGGGAGAGAGGTATCGCCGTTGGTGTAGATTATTACGGACTGGGAGAGGCGCTTGGCCATTGGAGTTACGTGAGCAAGCATGTCGGCGCTGGAGACCATGCCGCCTGCAAAGACGCCTACACTCTCTGCTCCTCGCTCCTCAAAGCCATGGCAGTAAAGGCAGTGAAAACTTCAAAATTAGCAAGGTACGCTTCACCCTGAAAGAGTGTACTTACATTCCCTTTCCCCAGCACTCAGCATAACCCTTGGGCTGCTCCTCCACAAGATCCCTCACCCCAGTGCCTAAGCCGAGTTTCTTTCCCTGATAGACATTGCCATCTTGATCAACTGCTTCAAACACACCAGTGTCTGTTTTACGCACGGTTGTGATGGTTGTGGACTTGAACTCAATGCTTTCGTACCGCTTCTCAAGATCTTCACGAGCTTTGTTCCGGAAAACAGAGGGCTCAACGTGATCGAAGCCGAGGACGTTATGCATGTGTTTTGTAGGTGCGTTGCGATACACGCCTGAGTCGAGGATGAGCGCTGTGTAGACTTGGCGAGCCAGGGCGGATGCCATAGCAAGACCACCTGGGCCGCCGCCGATGATGAGGACATCGTAGAGCTTGGAAGACATTGTGGTTATATGAGAAGTGAGAGAGGTTCAGAAGTAAGTTGTGTTTGCTATAGGATACGATATGGTTGCTCTTTGGCTTATATACAACCGGCGGAGAGATCTTGAATATCTCCGGTCGGAGACTTTGATGATGGGGCGGAACCATCTAGAGGTTGGATGAGAAAGGTGCCGCTGACTTGATGCACGAAATCTCCATCTGTACTAAGGCTATTGTCATTAAAGATCATTCTTCGTGGCTCAACGTCATCGGTTGTGTCGCCAATGGATGACACCCAAGAGTGTGAGGGCGAAGAGTTAGTGTCAACGTCAGCTCAGGCATGCGTAGGTACGACAAGATACTTGCCATCAATCTCTTCGAAGCATTCTATTTTTAAGGACTTATTGATGGTAAATTCAACTGGATGAGGGACTTTTGGGGGGCCATTGTTATTGATGTCGGTGATGTTGGTAATGGACTTGTACGTATGAGCCGACTAGCCGTGTATACGGATGAGCGGCATGCACTGAACGAACAACTACAATAAAAATAGTCGCAATCGCAATCATAACCACATTTTTTGTCTACAGTGGTTCTACTATACTACAAGATAGGCTTGATGTCATGCTCAAGAACGAAGAAGGAATACAGGTAGCAGAGATCGCACACAGCGAACAACTTCTCAGTCACAATCATGGTAGGCTGCCATATCATCTCACGACATCGCATCATCGATCATCACAGAAAACGCATGTATCGATCAAAAGTTTGAGGGTATAGTACAAGTCCAGATCAAGTCTGAACCATCAATTGCGCTATATAAATAACAATATCCAAGTCCCGTAGGACCAATCCAAAACAAAAACACTCGCTTCGACTATGCAAGCAGGTCGCTACCCGTAAGTAACTCCATCGCGATGCTCAAGCATTTCTGCGAGCACCAGCGCCTCACCCCAGTCCAGAGACATCCCAAGCAGCGCTAAGTATAATGAGGACCAGTCCGACGATGAGGCTCTCCCATCGCTATACATTGCTCAGAACCACAAATCTGCAGTTTGCGTATTCCGAGTTCGGACCTGCTACGAGTCGTCACCTAGCACCACCCACGTCTCCGAACCAGGCGTAGCTGCACTATCTAGAAATTCCCGCTGAGAGGGTAAATCATCGAGTTCACTGTCTGAAACACAGTCATAATCTGAGATCAAGTCGGGAGGTTGAGAGGTATCCACGTCGAAGGAGGGGTTTGAACCGTCGAGTTCGTATATCACGCGCAGGGGAGCGAATGTGCGTGATGGCGTGGCAGAGGGGGCTGTGTCGTCGGAGGAGAGGATCTGGGCGATGGCTTGGGAGCCGCCGAGGTCTGTGAAGGAGAGATCAAGATGCAGCGGCTGGTTGAAGCTGAAGCTCTGAGCGCGCTTCTTGCGGGACTGCTTGGCTGGGCGGATGGAGTAGGTAGGCTCCTCGTGCTTGATACTGTCAAGGCTGAAGCCCTCGCCCCTAACCTGCTCGTCGTCGTACAGCAGGCCCATGCGATACAGCTCAGCGATTTCATCATCCTCCGTCATGGGCATCTTTCGTCCAAGGTACACATTCCCCCTCGCAGTCGAAGCATCACGGAATGCCTCCTCCCTCTCAAGCGTAGGCCTCCTCACGAGTCGAAAGCGGTCGACAGGCAGAGAGATCCTGCTGTTAGCAAGATCTCTCCCCTCGACCTCATCGGAAGAACCACCAAGACTGGAGTGGTCATGTTTCCGGGCGATGCGGTTCCGATGGACGTGTGTCCATCGTGGATTCGCGCGCTGCAAATTCCCCGTCGAGATCTCGTAATGTAGAATCTTTTCGAGCTGGGGACGGCGCGCGCCTCCGTTTGTGTTTGTGCTATCCTGTTGTCCACAGCGCAGACAGTGCGTCTCTCCGAAACTTGAAGTCGTGCAGGGAAACCCGGTCTCGCGGCACAGGTTGGCGCCTTTGTGTTGGGACTGGCGCTTTGCTGTGGCGCGGACGAAGTGGTTTCGACTTGTGTGAGCGCGTGTCTTTATTGTGCTGGGAGGATTGATAGGAAAGTGCTTTGCAGCTGGAAGATCCCCAGTGCTGTTGAGTAGGACGTCCATGATGGATGTTCTGGGGGGCGTATTATAAGTAGGTTAGATGAACAAGGGTTTGTACAAGTGAAGGATACTATGTTGTGAGTAAAGATGTTATGTTGTCAAGAAAGGCGCAAAGTTGCGTGCTTGAACGCTAAAGGGCGCGAGATTAGGGAATATGAAAGAGGTATCTGGAAGAGTCGAAGGCTGGAGGGTGTATTAATACGATATCATCTCATCCGGGGCGATATCGTCGTGATTGGCCGCCGGAGGAGTCATATGGACTGCGGATGGCGTACTACCAACCTAGACTAGGCTCTTACACTGTATTACATTACGACTACGGGCCTTTGTCTCATCTTTGTTACTATGAGCAACAACAAGTACAGTGCTGCCTCGGCCTAGTCCTAGTCCTAGTTGTGTGACGTGACTCATATTGCATTGCTTGCTTGATCCGGGCACGTCTTACAAGGCCAGGCCAAGATAACCGAGGTGGCGCAGCGAATAAGACAAGGCCTTGGGGGGTTTTCCATTGTTGGGGAAGCCTTATCGACGAGGCACAGCGCGTGGTGAGGCGCATGATGGGTTTGATTGACAGGCAACGTCCGTGTGATGCGGTCCCGATTGGCTGGTGGATGTAGGACTCATGACGATAAGCAGAACGAAGAGGGTGTCGTCATCTTGGAGGTATAGAGTCGCTGTGGTTATAGTGCATTGATACCTAGAGCTGCCTAGAAGGAAGTGTATTCTACCAAGGTTCTTTTCTTGAATGAGTTGTGCCCGATGACCAAAACTGCATGGATCAAGACAGGGAATCACAGTCTGATGTTACTGGGCTAACTGGGTAGGGGCTCAATGCGGGTGACGACGAAAGTGTTTGATCGCCGTGGAGCTGTTTTCAGTCTTGTTGCTGCCGTAAAAACTGGGTAACCACCGATAACGATGAGATAGGATCACGGTGCAAGATAAGACGGTTTCTGTTGGAGGAGCTTGTTTATGGGGTGATAAGACATCCTCCCAATGAGGATATCCCGATAACACCCGGATGTTACGGCGGCTGGATGGACGAGCCGGAGGCTGTACTGGCACAACGTTCAATTACACTGTAACTCACTGTATGTCGACATTGCTCTCAAATCTTGTGATTGACTGCATTTCAGCTCTAGTCCAATATTGCATTTTCTCTAACCGCTATTACCCTTGATCAAGGCACACAAGGTGAATGTGCAACGCCCAAAGCAGACACTCACATAACCGTAGGGTAACACTCACCAACCCAACCCAGAGCAACCATCACTCACTCATCTGACTTAACATCCATTCCCTCAAGATACTTCCTCACATCAACCATCTCGATGCCCCTCTCCTCATTAACACTCCCACTCTTATCCCACGCAACCCCACGGCCCTGCGCAAACGTATCCCTATACTTGACCATCGTACTCGGCTCCCTCTCCATCTGCCTCTTCAACTCCTCCAGATCCCACACCTCCCGCTTGAACTTTGTAGCAAAATGCTCATCTAGTAGATCTGCCAGTTCGCCGTAGGATATAGTATCTCCCGCTGTGTACACAACCTGGTGCGATATACCCCGTGGATCGAGGACTATATCTGCTGTGACGCGCCCGATGTCAGTTGGTGTTGTGAGTGTGATTCTGTTGTCCCAGCTTCCGAGCGCTCTGACGATCTTATTCCCGAGATCAACGACCCCAAAGTCTGGGAGGAACAGAAAGCTCATGAACAGCCCAGTCGACACAATCGTCCAATCAACGTCCTTCTGGGCTCTCAATTTCTTCCGAACTTGTAACTGCTCATCGAACAAGTCCTGTGAACTTCCCTCCCCGATAATATCATAGTCCATCCCAAACTGCCATGGAAAGTATCTCTTAACGCCCGCTTTGAGCACAGCGTCTGAAAGCTTGAGCTGCGTTCCAGACGGTAAGCCCATGCCATTACACGAAACAACAACGTCGTATTTCTCAAAGATGGACGCTAGCTCTTCAACGCTTGCGTTGACGACATCAGCTGCTTCAAATCCTGCGTTGAGGGCACGAATGTGCTGTACTAGTTTCTTCTTCTCAGGGGCAGCAGAGTCAAGGGTTGCTTGGCGCAGAAGAACGGAATAGCGTTGACGCTTGGGGTGTGCAGTGAGGGCTTCCAGGATAGAGAGGCCTAGTTCCCCGGCGCCGAGGATGAGGATGTTTTGGGGCGTCATAGGTACTGGTATGGATGGATCGTTGAGACGATTGAGGGCTTGCAAGTTCTCGATGGAGAGTTCGAGGGGCGTTTCGGGCGTCATATTTAGAAGAAGCAGTAGTATTTTAGGCTATAGTTTAATTCTGCGCTGCATGATGATTACGTCGCGAATAGGACGAGAATGAGGCTGGATCTGCATCTTGGCGGAGCCTCAACGCGGGGTGAACGAATAGCCTTGGCGTTGGGGTGTAAGCAATTCCTCTATCTCCATGTTAAACTCCGACAACATGAGGTTATTCCGATTTTCTTATTGTATTTGTAAGAACAATAGGGTCCCATCATCAATAACTGCCAAGATCCTTGTTGGTCCACGATCCACATTGCTCACTCAATATCCGGCAGCTGAATAATCGAATTCCATCGACAAGCCATGTTTTCCGAGCCAGGGGCAAACATGACAAATGCGGAATGTCGACGGAGTTTATTTCATTTTTGAAATGCAAATACATACGAAAAAGGCCTGGTTGGCTTTTTATTAAACTCTGAGCTATACGGTAGTAAATGCAGGCACCGATTTACCCCAACAAGAACGCCCACGCTTCCCAATGCAGCAATCCAAAAAGCAATGATGATTTCTCGACTCTGGGAAAAATATAGTAGTCTAGCTAAGGCTGTTGTATGTAGTGAATGAGGGTCACGAAAAAACAGTGTTTCGATGAAATGGCCTTATGAACTGACTGTGAGTTTGTTGGCGAATCCAACACGCTGACCCTTGAGGTCGAAGACGACGAACTGCGCCTTGAGGAGGATGTCGCCCAGAATGGCGAAGCCAATACCGTCGGAGCTCTGAATGCCACCATAGCAGACGGTGGTGGTGAGACGGCCGTAGTTGATGTAGTTTCCGGGGACTTTGCCCCGGTAGCTGCCGAAGCCAAAGTAGAAGCTGGGGAGCTTCGCTGAGCAGGGGAACACCCAGACACCGTAGTCTTGGTCGACGTAAGCGCCCTTGACCTTTTTGTAGTAGAAGTTGACAAGGTAGCTGGGCAGAAGAAGGAGTGTGGTGCCGGTATCGACGATGGCCGAGTAGTTGTATTTGTGCCATGGTGCGCCCTGAGCAACACGGAAACCCTCAATGTTGAGCTGCCACCAAGGACTGTCCTTCTTGACCTTGGCGAACTGAATACTTCCGTAGTACTCGCTCTGGTCGATGTAGCCAAAGTTGTAGTTTCCAGCCTTGCCCTTCTGCAGATTGGCCGTAAAGACTGGAACTGCTAGATTGTCCTGCACGTTCTGGAAGTAGGTTTTTTGAGCTGTAGGCCGGACAGTGTTCAGGCTTGACATGGCCAGACCCATGATACCGTGTGAGAACTTGTCTGCAGCGATGCCATCCGAGACTTCAGTAGCAGACTCAACGGCCTGCTTGTTGACATACGTCTTTCCAACCTGGACCTTGTCGGTATAGACAATACCACTGGCACCAGTGCCATCGCCATATTTAATACTCCAAGTCTGACCGTTTAGTCTCTTGGAAGTTGACGACTTGTCTGGCTTGTAGAGAATATGACCAGCTTGGTCAGGTTGATATGTGTCTGTAGAAAACACCCAGCTGCGGCAATTAGCAATGCTCCTTTCTTGACAAAAGACAGGCAACTTACAGATCAGATGAGCCAGTATCAAAGTTTAGGTATGTTTGTTGAGCTGGAGTACCAATCTTGACAGGAACTACATACTGTGAATCGTAGTACTGAGGTGGTGTTGCTGAAGCAGTACCCTTCATTCCTGACAAGTGTTAGTCGTGTTCATTAGTCCGAGTGACAAGACTTACCAAGCTTATTGTTGATGAGCGCAGCCTCATGTTGAGCAATCTTCTTAAGCTTCGGGGGTAAAGGCTTATGGTATTTGTTGTATGCCGCGATGAGGGCAATCTCGGCATGAGGCTTCTTGTAACGCGTGTTGGTGAGTTGGTCCATCTTGACCTTCTCTCCGCCAGCCCTAGGCTTGAGATGAGCCGAGTCGGGGTCATTCTCATGATCGATAGCTCGACCTCGCAATGTCTTGCCAAGTTCCTCCTCTTCTTGTTCCTCAGGATCAATGTCCCGCTTTTGCAGGCCTTTAACTCCTTCAACCTCCGGATCAACAGCGTTGGGTGAAAAAGGATTCTTGACCTCATAGATATCTCCACGTGCCTTTAAAGCGTCGTTGTCGGATACATCCCTGGGTTTTATGTCCCGGTCCTGTAAACCCTTCACACCTTCAACCTCAGGGTCGACAGCATTAGGTGAGAAGGGATTCTTAACCTCGTACACGTCGCCACGTGCCGCGAGGGCTTGGTCTCCCTTGGGGTCTATTGCCCTTTTTTGCAGACCCTTTACTCCTTCAACCTCTGGATCAACGGCGTTGGGTGAGAATGGATTCTTCACCTCGTAGACATCACCACGGATTTCATGAGGAATACCCGTACTACAGCCGGCGAGGAGGAGAAAGGAAACCGTGCTGAATTTCATCGTGAATGATGGGTAGGGGAGAAATAGTTGTGATCGTGAGATGAAGATGTATCAGGAGAACGGGGGGCCGGACCTCATATTTCAAGACAATGGGAGTAGCAACCATGCATTGTAAGAGGCGGGCTGAGTGTTCCGGATCGAGGGCAAAGGCTATTATCCAGGCACTTCGAGATCCATAGCATGGCATTCTGGGCAAGCCTGGAGCTAAGTGAAGCCATGCTGGAGAGCTTAATGTGGAATGTGGCCCGTGAAGCGGATGGTTTTGGGTGGAATGCACCTGGATCGAGTATGGTGTGGCCTGGCATCTGCATTCCGGGGCCTTGGGAC